ATTTGCAAATTTGCAGCAGTCCCTTTGATGTCAGTAACCCTGATTAAAATCATTAGACGAAAACCATGGCAGAAATATGAGGGTTCGTGTCAAACAAATTGAATCGTGAGGCTGCAGTTAAAGTTCTGACATGAATTTGGAGGTATTGATTTATTGAAAACGCGTGCCTAAACACAAAATGCATTGAAATTCTAGGCCCGCGAACCGAACAGTGTCCTCGTCGTTTTCATGTTAACATTCGAACCCTTTGCTTTTCCAAAAATGGGAGCGCACGTTTTTAAATAATTGCTCGCATACTATACTCGCATGCGGTGACATAATCCTAGAATCTCTTCAAATGCTGCCAAGGAAAGCTAAGACTGTGTTTTTGAGTCTGTTTGTTTGTTTGTCGGATGAGAAATCGATAGGTTGACTGGTCTGGGATGAAATCGTGATTGCTGGGTTGCAAATGGCGAAAATTACTCACCCCATGGAACATCAGAGTACCCTCCAAAAACATACTGGTCTTTCTTTATAACCGTTACAGTATTTCTCTTTCCATCGCAACGAGTATGAAAGTCCCTACCATTCCAGCCATGCGAAGAGGCGCGGTAGCAGAGCAACCAATGAAAATTATTTCCAACAGCAGGAACCAGGAACTCACGAAGAAATGCGAGGTAACTTTCATTTTTCGACAGTATGTTTGAGTTCTTAATGTATCCTGCAACAGTCGAAATGGAATACGTGGATGTCTTACTATATATATGTATCAGCAGTTAATATTTACTTAAGCTAATTTGTAACACCACAACACAATTAAGAAAATTTCCATTGGGTTTTGCTTGTTCCTAGTAAATCATTTCCCCTTTTTGTGCACTCAGCACCTAAAAACTGAAAAAAGCCAAGAAGCAAAAAAATGAAAATGTCACCTATTCATCACGTCTTCCGCGATACTTAAAACGTGCACGTATCAGGGTTCGAATGTTTAACAGAAGTTTTTTTTTTTGCTCATTTCTTTATACATTTGCTCATCGCGATCTCTCTGCAGTTTGCAGATTGCAAATTGTGTGTAGTGCAATGCTCTGAGTGTCAGATCATACTCTGACTATCTATTTTTTAAATCCCAATCGACATCTGTGGTGATATCTATATCCACCTTTGAAAATGTTATAAGAACACTATTTAATGTCAATAAAATTGTTTTCAAATAAGATTAAAACATCGCTCATCAACCAACAGCCAGGAAGAGGGACAGCACTCATCTCTATCTTGTGTTTCCCTACATTTTTTACGTGCTCTAACTGCTTGTACGTTCTTTACAACAGAACAGAGCACAGTCGAGGTTTCATTATCTTTTATATACATATGAAAGTATTTTCTACAACACCATATTGAAATAAGTATTGTATCCTTGGAAAATCTTCGAATGTCTTCTTAAAAGTAACTCGTAAAAATGGTTAAGACCTACCCTCGTTAATCATGTTACAGTAATCCAATGTTGCCTTCCCTGTGCCAATTGGATCCAGCCAATACTTGCCGCTGATGGTGTCTTTACCTTCACTTGCCTTTATTTCGTGACAGGACAATGCTGGTAATTCAGGGATAGAACCTAAGGGTGCTGCAATAAAGATATTGAGATATTAAAAATCAAGAAAGGAGGCACAGGATTGATTAAGAATGGAAAAAAGCTAAGAATACGGTAAACTTTAAAGGGCCAATTGTACAGATTTTTTTCTTCATGAGAAGCTAAGCCTTGGTACTTGAACTAAAGTTGCCAGGAAAAAGTTGGGTAAAATGTCAAAACGAGCGCATATCATTTATTAAAACGTTTTTACTATCTTAGCTCTGATTCCCCAAAAGTGAGAACAGCCAATTAAAACATTTCATCATTGCATCACGGCTCCCAAAATATTTTTCGCGGCAAAACCTCCTTGTTTTTTAATTTTAATCGCGTAAACATCTCCTAATTTCAGTTGCAGGTGCAGATGTTGCAATCTGCTGCGTATAAAACTAGACTGTGAAGAGGAAAAGACTCCTTAGGTGAAAGGCTAAACAAGCTTGGTCGTAAGCGAATTCGATGAGGAGAGGCAAAAAAGTATCGCCAAAACGGATTAGCGCCCATTTTTTTAGGCAATCTTCGCTGTTTTCACCCGAAAAGCAATTATTATCGAGTTATGCCGCGGGGTGTTTAAGCCACTTTTGAGTTAAAGGGGAAGAAATAGATCAGATAGTTAGACAGATTTTTTAATTCTCACCTCTGCCGTTCAATCGTCGGATATAAAACCATGAAGGGGCTGAAAGAAAATTCTGTGGTCTTACCTCCTTAGTGCGGTTGTTTAGTTCACATATTTTGTATTTTCTGTTGTAGTTATAGCTTTGGCACCTGATTTCTTGTTCACATTTGATATCGCAGAGGTGAGGAGCCGCCAATGACCATCTTTTGAAGACGGAAAGCTTGAGAGCCATACCTTGAATGCTTACTTCTGTCCTGCATTGATCATTAGCTGTGACAATCTCCATCAGAAACGCGAAGAAGAGGATTCTTACAAGGCGAAATGTACACAACATACTTCCCCGCTGTTGATGAATCTACAGTTAACATTCATAGAATACCAACCGAGTTTAGAAGCTGCCGTTCATCCACATCGTTTTGTTAAATAAACAACCCAAAACGTTTTCCCTCTTTAATCAAATGTTTTGTAAAGTAATGACAGGGAGAAAGCAGACCCAAGCAGTTAACCTCGACACAATGGTGAATAATCCTCCCTCCCCTTTTCAAAAGGCTCGAAAACAGAAATGACGTTTATACGTTTTTGAGCCAGTGTCTAATCTACTATATCCTACCGTTTGATAAAAAGAGATTGTTGACAAAATATCTCTTCACCCTCAATTAATGTCAAACCCTCCTTTGCATTTTCTCTCCACACGTCACCTCTTCACATTCTATAACACGTAGGCGTCTTAATGGCTGTTCTATGTAAAACAGCTTCACTAACGTCACTTCCATTTGAACAGCAGGTGCCTGATAACTTTGTAGCAGGCTAATTGAAACCTCAACCACTTCCCTCTATTTTCTCTTTTAAAGCAACCGATCAAAACAAGAAGCCATCAGCCGTAACAGTTTGTTTTACTTGTTTTCGGTCCTCAAAAAACCTTTCTATGCAATTTTACTCTGAATTTTCCTCCAAACTCGATCGAGGAAGTCGTCGAGAAAATACTGATGATGACTGGCGTCAAACACGCATGATGCAAATTATTTGAATGGAACTTGAGAGCAGAATGAAAACCCCAATAGAATTCAAGTTTAAGGTCAGGACACGCAAACTCAGAAAAATGCGCTGGAAATTCACACACACACAAAATGAAGAAAATTCATATCTACACTCTTCTTAGTGTGACTGTATTTCTTGAAACGTGCTTAGTTTCTTTTCATATTAATTTATCATACAAGCTGTTCATCATAACCTCTTTTCTTAAAACGCGTTAAATTAAGGTGTAAAGTGGTGCGCAAATTACACGCTCGTTTCTAATCTGGTACATTTCTTTGTTTTTTTCATCACAGTCTATTCTCTCATACTCATTAATTAAAAAAGAGATGTTGTCTATTTGTATGGTAATGTCATTCAAACTATCGTGCTTGATGAAATAGTTACCTGCTTACGCACTTAAGTCGTTTATTAATATGTTTTATGCACATTTTAAACCGGCAAAGTAAACAGCAAATGGAGATCCCGCTAAGTTCTTATTCCTTTCATACAGCACGTCGGATACTTTGTGTAAGATGAAATACGTGACAAATAGCAGATGCTGTTAATGACCATATTTCGAGCACAAAACGTAAATTATAAAAAGGGCTCGCTTCCACCTTTCCCTGGTTGTGACATGCGAATGGTAAAAGTACCGCGATTGGAAAAAAAGTATTATTGTCAATGTACAAAGTCAATGAAGAGTTGAGTGTCCTTAACTACTAGTCCTTCAGTAAACTTTGTTTGCAGTGTAATTACACATTCCTCCCTGTCCACTAACTGAAGATTAAAATTAAAATTTAAAATAATTACACTATTAATTGCCGTAAAATGAGACACTTTAACAAGGTTTTCACGCACCTAGTATTGATAAAGAAAAGTTTAATCGCTTTTCCCTAGGATATAGAGGCAGGCTTTTCCCTCTGCAGTTGCGAGAGTCATACAGTATCAACAGGTTCAACAGAGTTTCGATTGAGTTAAAAACAGCTTTTAATTTGACAAGTTTTTTGCCGTATTGTTAGGTCTTTATTAAACATGAAGTCCTTCAGTAGGTGTCAGTGTTTTTGTTTTTTAATAATCGCGTTGTTTAAGTCGATTTTACTAGTCAGAAGTTTGGGGTCCCTAAAGTTGTTATTGATATAAGTTGCCAATTTTATTACCAAAAAAATGGATCGAGGTCGTTAACATGCGTCATATCTTGTTCAAGCCGCGCCGCACAATAAATCTTAACGCTTAAAACGTAACTAGAAAGGCCAAATGATTAACCAAAACAAATGAAAGGAAAATAAAGCGCTACGTTTATTGTTTCATAAGCTTATTATCATAATAGTGAGCATTGCGCAGCGTTCATGCCTACTTCTAAAGCGCGATTTTGGCGTCCATGTCTCATTTTGCTAGTTATAATACACCTAATAACTGTATTGAGCTAGAAGCAAATATCCTGAGAATAATTGGCATTTTGGGTAATGTAAAACCTTTAAAGAAATTAACAAAAACAGCAAAAATCTCCAAGAAAAGACAAAAACTTCGCCCCTACTGTCATAAGAGTGAATGGTAACTACCATATAAGTGCTTTTCCGAGAAAGTATCTCGCGAAGATTTCTAATTGTTATCTGACTTTGCTCAACGTGTAATATTAAGATTCCAAGATGATTATGCGACGTATCCTGGTTTTACGCCTTTAAAATAAATTACAATACCCTGCCATTAGAGACAGTGTAAGTTCGAAATACCTGGCTCAGAAACAAAAATAGACCTGCAGTTGTATTTTCAGCTCTAAGGGAGATAAAACACCTCTACTTCATCGGGAGTAAAATAGTAGGTTCCAGTTAACACTGTAACCTTTTCCTTTACTTCACTAGGAGCCAAGAAAGAGTGACCAAAGTTGGTGTACGAATGAGCATTATGACCTGCGTTGTTAGCAATATGAATATCGTGACCACCGCCAAATGTTGGAACATAGTTTATCCCCATATAGATCGCCTGGGAACCACGCTTCACCATACTTTTGAACGGCGCCAGTCCTTCTTTTTTTCAAGCGAGTAAATGAAAGCCTTGTCGGTCTTACGATATCCTTCATACGGATCATCATCTACAGGTCAAGACAATGAGAAAAAATTGCAATCCTTTCATAGAAATGTTTTTACTTGGCTTACTTATTCTATAAAAGTTGGCAACATACAGCCGCAGTTGAAGGAAATCATCTAATGACTTACTTGTTGCAAATTTTTTGTCATGAAGTTATTGAGACTAAAAAAAAGGGAAAGAGGAAAATATTTATATGTATATCTCATGAAAAATTACATTTATTCTTACCGCAATAAGCCCAGTCACGTTTGAAGACAGCCTCGAATGAGCACCACCTTCCAATAAAAAAGCCACTCTTTGTACAGTTGTTGTAGATACGGCCTTTATACTTGAAAGGGAATACACAACAGCGACCAGACCGGTCCTTTGTTCTTGCTCCTGGAGGACAATCGGCTAAGGAAATATTCTAATTCAGTGCATCATTCATAACTTTTTTTTTCGGATAATCGGTTTTAAATATTATTCACGAAATCTTCAAGATAGAAAGGGCATAATCTACTTGCACCAAGTTTTGAAGTTAAGGGTTATATTACTGAATTTACATTACATATTTGCACATGAACTAGTGAAGGCAGCATTATGCGTGAGTCCTTTTCGTGATTTCCATCTATAACACTGGTTATAAAAACTGGTTACAAAAATGTCGCAGACGGTTGAGGTAGCACATCTAAAAATTGATTCAAGGAGTTGCAACATGAGTGCAGTTATGAACTGGTTGGTAGTGACTGATTGACAAAACGTCTTAGATGTGATCGATACTGTTTTAGTCTGGATTCGCGCATCAAGTAGTCTCCATAGATTTCCCACATTGATCATACTCGAAAGGAAATACACAACAGCGACCTGACGGGTCCTTCCTTCTTGCTCCCGAACGACAATCGGCTAAGAAAACATTTTGAATCCGTTAGCCATGAATGGCTCCTTTTTCTCGGATAAAAGATCATTAGAATTAAAAGGAAATGATCTCCTTGCTCAATATTTCGTAGTTAGGATTATGATACCCATTTTCAGAAGTCCTTCATCTTGATGCCAGTATCCCTGGTTAAAATCATTACACGAAAACCATAGCAGAAATATGAGAATTCGTGTCCAACAGATTGAATCGTGAAACAGTTAAGGTTCTGACATGAATTTGGAGGGATTGATTTATTGAAAACGCGTGCCTACACACAAAATGCTTTCAAATTCTAGACTCACAAGCCGAGCAGTCTCCCTGTAGTTTTCCTGTTAACATTCGAACCCTTTGGTTTTCCGAAAACGGGAGCGCCCGTTCTTTGTAAATAATTGCTCGCATACTACTACTGACAAGGCGGCGAAGAGGAACGAAGTAACGACATAGCCTTAGAATCCCTTCAAATGCTGCAAAGGAAAGCTAAGACTGTGTTTTTGAGTCTGTTTGTTTGTTGGACGAGACATCGATAGGTTAAGTGGTTTGGGATGGAATCGTGATCGCAGGGTTGCAAATGGCAAAGATTACTTACCCCATGGAACGTCAGTGTAGCCTCCAAAAACATACTGGTTTTTCTTTATAACTGTTACGGTATATTTCTTTCCATCGCAACGAGTGTGGAAGTCCTTTCCTTTCCAGCCATGTAAAGAGGCGCGGTAGCATAGCAACCAGTGGGAATTATTTCCGACGGCAGGGACCAGGAATTCATGAAGATAAGCCAAATAAGATTCATTTATTGGCGGAAGAGGGTTAACTATATGTGTATATACATAGATAGAGATTGTTTAGTTGATACTCACTGGGGCTACTCTATCACACCAAAACTTCCATTGACATAAATAATATACCTGGCAGGCTTCTCCCTTTTTTGTGATCTTATTTCGAGCTTCGCAGCTCAACACAGCCAAGAGAGAAAAGCAGATGAGGAAATAATGGTATTTTCATCACATCTGTGACCACAATAAAAACCTGTAAATGCCTTGTCTCTTCCTTGTGTTTTGTGAGCAGTTTTGCAAATTTCGCTTCTCTTTTGAAAACTTAATTGGGAAAAATTTTCTGATAGCTACCTTTTATGCAGATAACAGACTATGCACTCATCGTAAGCATTAATTTTTAACTAGGATATGCCGGAGAGATCTTGTCAAACCTTCACAGTTGTGTCCGTCTACAGTAAACCCGGGTTTACAACTGCATCTAAATGATCCTGGCTTATTTTTACAGACCCCACCAGTCATATTGCAGTTGTGGGTATTAACTAAACATGTTTTGCTGGTGTTAATTTGGCATTAGTTTGAATCAGCAAACTTAGTCAATTGACACTTAAGTAACTGCCTAATTTAGAAAATTATTTTGGATTAAACAGTTCAAGCCTTAGTGCATTGCACTATCTTTTTTTCGCAGTTATCTCCGGTAAACTAGAATCGACTTTTGTGGCTTTATCTATAAAATTTTGCCGAAGAAGTTACTAGCCCCTTAGCAAATGTTATAGGAACAATCATTAATGCACAAAAAAAGATTATCAAATAAGAATGAAACATTGCTTATCCAACCTGTGTCACAGTGATCACCAGTGAATCCTTGTAGACATTTGCATTTGTATCCAAAAGCTTCGAATTCCTCGATGTAGGTTCCTTCATTGTGACATGGATTTAGCGCACAGTCCAAAATTTCTGTCACAATAATGAAATTGATTGCGAGCTTTAAGTGACCTCAGGAAAGCCCTGTCGTGTATCACAAAGTCCAAAAAGCGCCTGACGATCGAGAATAGTAAGGCCAAGCCAACACTAAATACGCTTGCCAATCAGGAAAAAAGGTTCAACGATGCAATAAACCAAAGGCATTTCACAAAAGCACAGCCAGCCAGGCTCAAGCGCAGGAAAGCTTTTGTTACTTATCGGCTCTAGAGAGCAATCCACGACTTTAAAATTTGCTACGTTATGTTCAGCTTTGACGTTGATACATATCCTTAGCGGTGGGGGCTGGCATTGATACATATTATAAGTTTGTTCCTTATCGTAAAAAGGTTCTTATCAAAGAGTGAACACTTACCTTAATAATCCAAACGATTTTTTATTTTAAATAGATACACCCCATTTACACCCATAGCGGGCGTAAATAGACAGTTTTCTCTATACCATGACGTCATGAAACTTGGCGTCACCGGCCAATTTTTTTAAACTTGGCCCTGAGTTTTAGTCCCGCCTTTTCTTCTCTGATGTTTACGGCCCTTGGGACCCAATTCACTTGAAATAACACAAAAAACCCTTAACCTCAAGAGCAGTTTGAACGGCGTTGGTTGAATGTTTCAAAGAAATCTCAATTTTTTCTTGAGAACAGTCTGTCAACTTTATGACAAAGGAATGTCAAGCAAGAAATTCTGACACTGACTGAAGGAAGCTAATTCAAAACTGAGCTTCCGGTTCAGTTTAAAGTAAAATCGACCGGGACTCTGGGGAAATTTATCCCTAATGGGTTTGCTCGGCATATCAATGAATATTCTATCTAGTCTGGGAAACCTCGGATCAACAAAAATTGTTTTGACCTCAAACGATCTTTTTTTGTGAACATCTTATCGTGAACAAGGCTGCCCTTGCGTGAGAAAAGCTAGAAGGTGCCCTTCAAATCATGAAAACAAACGACCGGCGAATATACAAAAAAATCGCAGTATTTCGCTCTCAATTCTCGATGTCATTACCACCTTGGCAGTGCGGGGAATATCACTCAGGGGTAACTGGAACTCGCATCAACACCGAGAAGATGTTAATTTTGACTACTTAGTGAGTGGAAGAGTTGATTTGATTTTATTCTAAGGAATCATCTGGATACCTCCCTAAGAAATGCGTGTTACCTATCTCCGCAAATTCAGAATGAACTTATCTCTGGCCTAGGAGACAAAATTTGCGAGAGTATCGTTAAAAAAAGTCAAAGTTCTTAGCGTAATGGCCAATGAGACAGTAGAGGAGTCAACAAAAACACAATTTTATGTCTGTATAAGTTATCTCACGGACAACTTTGAGGTTGAAGAAGCTTTTCTTGGTTTTGTTGACCTGCATAAAACAGACGTCCAAACCATTTCCGAAGTTCTAATAGACAATGTACAACAATGGGGTTTGGATTCGAGTAAGTGGCGTTGTCAAGGGTTCAAGCAAGAGTAACCTCAAAGCTGCTTAAGGCAAAGCTTATCGTGCACTGCAGAAGCCATTGCCTTAATTTAGCCATTTTTGCTAGGAGCAGTAAAGTTCCCGAAGTCAGAAACTTTATGGATACTTTCAAATCCATTACTTTCTTTTTTTCTGCCAGTCCTAAGTGTAAGGGGATCCTTTCGGAGAACTTCTCAGAAAGTGCCGGTAATGATCTGCTGTTCCGGCCTCTCAGCCGGAACAGAGGACGACCAATGTGAAGACGTCATCCCATTGAGAGCGAACAGAAACCAATATCACCTTCCGAAAAAAAAGTACCGCAATTGAAAAAAAAATTTTATTGTCAGTTCAATGTACAAAATCAATGAAAAATTGTATATCCTCAACTGCTAGTACTTTAATAAACTTTGTTTGCACTGTAATTACACTTACCTCCCTGTCCTCTAAGTGAGGATTAAAATTAAAAGTTAAAATAATTACACTATGAATTGTCATAAAATAATACACTTTAAAAAGGTTCTAACGCACCTAGTATTGATAAATAAAAGTTTAATCGCTTTTCCCTAGGATGTAGAGGCAGGCTTTTCCCTACGATATAGAGGCAGGCTTTTCCCTACGATATAGAGGCAGGCTTTTCCCTACGATATAGAGGCAGGCTTTTCCCTACGATATAGAGGCAGGCTTTTCCCTATGATATAGAGGCAGACTTTTCCCCTGTGATATAGAGGCAGGCTTTATCCCTACGGTATAGAGGCAGGCTTTTCCCTATGATATAGAGGCAGGCTTTTCCCTATGATATAGAGGCAGGCTTTTCCCTACGATATAGAGGCAGGCTTTTCCCTATGATATAGAGGCAGGCTTTTCCCTACGATATAGAGGCAGGCTTTTCCCTATGATATAGAGGCAGGCTTTTCCTCTGCAGTTGCGATAGTCACACAATATTAACAGAGCCAACAGACTTTCGATTGAGTTAAAAAAAAGCTTTTAATTTAAACCATTTTTGGCCATATTGTTAGGTCTTTGTTAACCATGAAGTATTTTAGTAGGTGTTAGTGTCTTTGTTCTATAATCGCGTTGTTTAAGTCGATTTTACTCATCAGAAGTTAGGGGTCCCTAAATTTGTTACTGGTATATGTTGCCAATTTTATCACGAGGCTCGAGATCGTTAACATGCATTATATCTTGCTCAAGTAGAACCACACAATAAATCTTAATGCGTAAAATGTATCTAGGAAGGCCAAATTATGATTAACCAAAACAATTGCGAGGGCAATATAGCGCTACGTTCATTGTTTCATTTGCTTATTATCACAATAGTGAGCATTGCACACCGTTCATGACCACCTCTGAAGCGCTATTTTGGTGTCTCATTTTGCTGGTTATAACACATCTAATAACCGTATTGAGCTAGAAGCAAATATCCCGAGAATAATTGGCATTTTTGGTAATATAAAACCTATTAAGAAATTAACGAAAACAGCAAAAATTTCCAAGAAAAGACGAAAACTTCGCCTCTGCTGCCATAAGAGCGAGTGGTAACGACCACATAATTGCTTTCCCGAGAAAGTATCTCGCGAAGATTTCTAATTAATATTTGACTTTGTTCAACGTGTAAATATTAAGATTCTAAAATGATTATGTGACGTGTCGTGGTTTTACGCCTCTAAAATAAATTACAATACCCTGTTAATTATTCCGTAAGATTTGTTAAAGTTGTTCTTTACCCCTGTTAAAATGTTTTTGGAATACTTAGTTTTGATTAGAAATAAAAACTTAATTAAAAGTTAAAACCACAGGTCTCACTTTAAGGCGTGCAGTGATAATAATATTGACAACAAAGCAGAGAATCTTTAAAAACAACTCTAATCGTAGTGCCCGCTAGACATAACCAAAAGTCTGTGCATAAGTCGACCCTGAGTGGCCCATTATCTTAGAGTTTATCCTGGTTGGCAACTACAGCATGTACACCCCTTGCATATCACATGCAGACACCCTCTTCCTAGACGGGATGTTAGTCCATTGCTACTTATCGCCCAGCATTTCGCCTTGCAGTTGCTGTTACAAAAAAAGATTAACATTCCTCAGTGGGCAGAGACAATGTAAGTTTAAATGCCGGGCTTAGGAACAGAAATAGACATGCTATTGTAATTCCAGCTCTAAGGGAGATAGAACACTTCTACCTCATCGGGAGTAAAATAGTGAGTTCCAGCTAACACTGTATCTTTTTCCTCTACTTCACTTGGAGCCAAGAAAGAGTGACCAAATTTGGTGTACGAATGAACAGTATGACCTGCGTTGTTGGCAATATGAATATCGAAGCCTCCACCAAACGTTGGACCATAGCTTATCTCCATATAAATGGCTTGGGAGTCATGCTTCACCATACTCTTAAACGGCGCCAGTCCTTCTTTGTTTTCCAGCGAAAAAATAAAAGCCTTGTTGGTCTTACGGTATCCTTTATACGGATCATCATCTACAGGCAAAGACAATGAGAAAGAATTGCAATGCCTTCATTAAAGCGTTTTTACCTTGCTTACTTATTATATAAAAGCTGTAACATGCAGCCGGAGTTGAGGAAAATCATGTAATCACTTATTTGAAGCATATTTTTTTACTTGAAGTTATTAAGACTGAAAAAAGCGGAAAGAGGAAAATACGGACATGTACATCTCATGAAAAATTACATTTATCCTTACCACAATAATCCCAGTCGTCTTTGTAGACAGTATCGAATGAGCACCACCACTTTCTACGAAAAGAGTGCTTATTTGTACAGGAGTTGTAGGTACGGCCTTTATACTTGAAAGGGAATACACAGCAGCGACCTGACGTGTCCTCTGTTCTTGCTCCCGGAGGACAAGCTGCTGAGGAAACATTTTGATTCAATGCATCACTGATAGCATTTTTTTTTCGCAAAATCGGTTTTTAAAATTATTAAAAAAATCTTCAAGATAGAAAGGGCATAATCTACTTGCACCAAGTTTTGAAGTTAAGGTTAAAGTGCTGATTTTTCATTACATATTTGCACGTGAACTAGTGAGGGCACTATTACTTTATAGCGGTTACATATGTGTGAGTCCTTTTCGTGATTTCCATCTATAACACTGGTTATTAAAAACTGGTCACAAAACTGTCAGAGAACGTCGAGGTAACATATCTAAAGATTGATTCAAGGAGCTGCAATATGAGTGCAGTCATGAACTGGTAGGTAGTAACTGATTGAAAAAACTTCTTAGATATTCTTTTAAAGTCTGTTTTCGCACATTAAGTAGTCTCCATGGATTTCCCACGTGTGTTTGACATTGGAACTTTTAATCTTGTTTTCCGAAAATGAGAGGGCACGTTTGCTAAGTGTTGTTCGCTTACATTGACTGACGTAGAGCGGAGAAGAGGAGTGAAGATAGTAGATCAGTGGGGAATCATTTCGACTATCGCCAAGAGAAACTTGCTTTTTATGTTTGACAGATGTGACATCGATAAGGAGACTGCATGCGGGTAAGATGGTCATTATTATGTTTAGAGTGGATACAGTTTCTTACCCCATGGAATGTCAGTGTACCCACCAAAAACATACTGGTCTTTCTGTATAATTATTACCATATCTTTCTTTCCGTCGCAACGAGTGTGGAAGGCATTGCCAGCCCAGCCGTGTAATGAGGCGCGGTAGCAGAGTAACCAATGGGAATCATTTCCAACAGCAGGAACCAAGAACTCACGAAGATATGCGAAGTGAGATTCATTTTTCGACAATATAACTGAATTTCTTACGTATCCTGCAACAGTAGAAATGAAAAACACGAATGACTTATACTCTATGTCTCTCTACCTAGAGAAAGAATCAGTGGTTGATCCAC